GTTCTTTTCTCTCGAACCTAGATTTCTCCTCCTACTTATTCTTCCTGCCTGCCAGCCCCGCCAATTCCTCTCCTGACTAGCTTATTGAATGTTCAGTTTTTTATTAGACCCATCAGGTGCCTTAGGCAGGCAAGGTGAAACAAAGGCAACACATCTTTACATAATGAAACAAATGCAGCATTAACAAATGTACCATATCTTGGCCTAGTTGAAATAATATTCCACAACAGGTTCTGCCGATGGAACTCAGGTCATCAAATTTGGCAGCAAGTGCCTTTACCCACCGAGTCCTCTTACCTGCCCATGAATAAACATTTTTTTGTGTCCGCAGGAAAAGTCACACAGCAGTTATCTCTTTGGAAAAACTAAACTTATTACAGAAAAGTTTCAAATATTCAAAACTAAACTAGAGTGAACTCCCACATACATACCCATTACCCAGCTTCAACAACTATCAATCTATGGCTAACCGTTCTTCATTTGTAGCCCCAGACGTTTGTGACATTCCCTTTCCATCCCAAACTGGGCTATTTTAAAGCAAATCTTAAGCATTTTATTTTCTTGTAAATATTTTAGAATGTCTCTCAGAAACGACTCTTAAAAAAAAAAAAAAAAAAAAAGGAACAGAGTTCCAGGACAGCTATGGCTGTTACACAGAGTAACCCTGTCTTTAAAAAAAAAGACAAAACAAGAAAATCACAATCACATTGACGAAATACTGTTCTCCCCCGCCACCCATCTCTTCTCTCAGATAAGGTCTGGCTGTGAAGTTTGGCTATCCTGGAACTCACTATGTAGACCAGGCTGGCTTTGAACTCAAAGAGACCCAGCTGCCTCTTTCCTGAGAGCTGGGACTAAAGGTGTGCATCAATACACCTGGCTTCTTCTTTTTTTTTTTTTCTTTTCAGTTAACTGGCTTAAATCAGAATCTAGCTAAATTGTGTTTCATGTATATACATTCTTCTTCGGGTGTTTTTCTTTTTAAACAGGGGGTCTTCTGTAGCACAAGCTGGCTTGCAACTCTGTACAGCAAAGGATAACCCTGAACTACTGATCTTCCTGAGTCTAGATCCCAGTTGCTGGGTTACCATACCCAGGTTTATGCAGTGCTGGCAACCCTAAAAACGGAGACTCACCATGTGGGTTCCCTTGTGTGCTTTGAGGGACTGCAGGGCTGCCAGGTCGGTATGATTCCCTGGAGCTCACTGCAGGCATTTCCAAAGCAGCCTGCGTGCACAGATCTTGTCCTATACTACTGTCCCTGGTGGCAGTCAGGAAGGGAGGGGACACAGGCATCAGGCAATGTATAAGCTTTGGAGCTGTGATAGTGACCAAGATGGACACAGTCACTGACACCCCCCCCCCCCTGCTGACCGCATAGGGTAGGAAGGGCCTATGGCTTAAGGAAACAGGAGGCAGAGATCAGGGTGAGAGAGGAGTGAAGTTTAAAGGAGCCTGTGAAAGGAGCCTGTCCTGGATGGGGCGGGAGGCAGGGGAGGGGAGAGCTCTCTGAGCAGGGCTACTTCAGCCTCCTGAAGGACATGCCAGCACAGGATGCTCTGGGACCGCAGGGAAGGAGCCAGTACGGGAAGTGAGAAAGGCAAAGGAACCAAACTGGTGACTCAGGGCTGTAATCACGTCATTTGGGAGGTGGAGGCAGGAGGATCAGGAGTTCAAGGTCATCTCTGGCTGTGTATTTAGTTTCAGGTTAGGGATACATGAGACTCTCTCCAAGAAACCAAAACCAAGACATTCAGGAGGTTCCAAGTGTCCCTATTGCTACAGTGGGGAGAATGTAGCTATGGCCAGCTGCATGGATTCCCATTTCTGGGGTGGGGGAATGGGGGGGTTGGGATGAGGTGGGGGTGGGGAGGAGTCTCACACCTTACAGGAGAAAACATTGTCCCATCAAGCTGGCTATTCTTTGACATATTTTAAAAGAAAAGAAAAAGATAAAAAAAGAAAAGAAAAGGTAGAGGGAGATGCTCACCATCAGGGACCATCTGAAACCTGGCGACTTAGCTGCTTAGCATCTCTCTCTGACCTTGGCTTTCTTCCTTCTCACAGATGACTGATTTGAAGGTCAAACGGGCTGAAGAAACAGCTTTCCCAGTAATAATACCAAGGAGAATTATGTGCTCTTGGCCTCGAGTAGTCACCCGGTTTCATGGTTCTTGCATGAAATTTGATTTCTAAGGCAGGCATGCCTTGTGAAAATAGAATCACTCCAGTGCCCAGATTCCAAAGAATAGATGGTACCGGGAGTGTTTTCAGGATTGTTGGACGGTTTGAATTCCTCTGGAAAATAGCCTTGTAGAAGGGAGTTGTCTGTATGTGGCCTCCATGGGATCGCTTCCTGCCAGCAGCCAGTCAAGGCCAACTTCTGGCGTCCGCTTGAGAAAGTGAGCTGTTTCCCACGCTCCCCCACCACGGTGCAGTTGGGATGTTTGTGCTGGGGGAGGTTAGATGTTGAGAGCTAGGCAGCAAGAGGCGCCTTGCCTGACTGCTGTCTCTGCAGATTGTCAATGTATTCTAGAAAAGTCTTACCATTGCCAAGTGATGGAAAACATGTCACTTGAGGAGTTAATAGCCCATGATATTTATAAAAAGAGATGGTTTTAGGGCTGGGGATGTAGCTCAGTTGGTAGAGGGCTTGGCTGGCATGCACAAAGCCCTGGGTTCCATTCCCTCGAGCAATATAAACTGGATGTGGTAGTGTGTACCTCCCGCACACATACCTGGGAGGCAAAGGCAGGAAGCAGAAGTTCAAGGCCCAGAGACTGGGAGTAGAGCTTCAGCACATGAGTGTGAAGCCACAGCGTCAATTCCCAGCATTGCAATAGGTAAATAAGTAGAAAGATTGATTAGTTAGTTAAAAGAAAATGGTGCTTTTGTCCTTTCCCAGCCTAGATTGGAATCAGTGCCAGCCACCATCTCCAACCTTCTTTCCAAGTCCTGGGGAGTGAGAGCTCTTGTCTCCAAATCTATGAAGTGGAAAACAACCCCACCTCTGGCTTCTACATTCCCTCACAAACACCTGACAGTGATGATACTCTATAAAAACTAATCCCAGCACTCGAGAAGCAGAGGAAGGAGGATCTCTGTGAGTTTGAGGCCAGCCTAGGCTACAGAGTGAGATCCAGGAAAGGCGCAAAGCTACACAGAGAAACTCTGTCTCGAAAAACCAAAAAAAAAAAAAAAAAAAACTAGAAAAGATTCTGAGAACACTATACATGTCAGGATTAGGATAGCCTTGAACTCACTATGTAGCTAAGAATGATCTTGAGAACCTCCAGGACCCACCTTCCCAGTGCTATGATTATAGGCATATACCACCATGCCTGGTTTACACATTGCTGGCGATTGAACACAAGGCCTTGTGCAGCCAGCCAGACAGGAATTCTTATAGCTGCATCCTAAGTCCTGAGATGGCTGACCTTGGAGTCAAGATCATTGGGTCAGAGTTCCAGTGATGCCAATTATATATGGTGACTTTGGACAAGCTAATTACTTAATTTTTCTGCTAGAAAAATACGGATGTCAGTGACATCCAACTATAGTTGGACTTTTTCATTGGGACCATCGGCTCCCCAGTAATGACATGGAGACTTATTATTAGTTATTAAAGCTTGGTCGATAGCTTAGGCTTGTTTCTAACTAGCTCTTGTAACTTAAGTTAGCCCATATCTTTTAATCTATATTCTTTTATGTGGCGTGGTTACCTTAACTCTGTAGTGCCCTTGTCGCTTCCTCTGTGTCTACAGGCATCTTCCTTCTTCCCAGTGTCCTCCCTGCCCAGAAATTCTGCCTAGCTATTGGCTGTTCAGCTTTTTATTAAACCAATCAGAGTAACACATCTTCACAGTGTACAAAAAGATTATCTCACAACACCTAGCCTTCTAGTGTTTCTCCAAGGATTAGATGCTGCCTGCAATGTGAACTGTTAGTACCTATTAGCTGGTATTCTAAGCACTAAGCTAGTCACACTGGGTTAGTGACACTATGGTAGCCCATGCAGATTTACTTCTTTTTTTTTTTTTTTTTTTTTTTTGGTTTTTTGAGACAGGGTTTCTCTGTGTAGCTTTGCGCCTTTCCTGGAACTCGCTTTGGAGACCAGGCTGGCCTCGAACTCACAGAGATCCGGCTGGCTCTGCCTCCCGAGTGCTGGGATTAAAGGCGTGCGCCACCACCGCCCAGCTCAGATTTACTTCTTAACACCTTCATTTTATCATCATCTGTGTTATCCTTCCCCTGGACTGTGGGTTCCTTGAAGGCGGGGCTGTATCCACCCCGCTCTGGTGCCCACTGTGGTATCACACAGTCTCCATGTGGAAGGCTTACTGCCTTTGCTGAGTTAATTAGTCATTTGGATAATACTGGCAGCCAACAAAGCATTGTCACCCTCATCATTTTGGTCAGGAGGATGCAGAGCGGAAACTTGAGAAGTTTGAGACACCTGCCCATACCGTGACAACAGGCACCCTGCGGTCATGTCCCAGGATTCTTGTCTGACATTCCCTCTGACAGCCTATCCTGTCTAGAAGACAAACGCTAGTTTTGCTAGTCAGGCCCATCTCCTTCGATTCTGTTTATTTTGTGTACCGTGGGCAGCTACAGCAGTGTCCTGAGGGAGTGGTCACTCCCCGTATCAGATTCGTGTGTGTCTGCCATGACCACCGTACTTGATAGCATAGCAGGGAAGGTACCATGCATGGAGCATCGTGAAGCTGCTCAAGTCTATGTGATGGGAGCACGTGGCAGAGGCTGTTCACATGGTGGCTGACGAGGGCACAGAGAGCAAAGTGGGAGCTAGGAGCAAAGGCCCGCTCCTAGTGATCTGCTTTCCGTCAGCCAAGCTCCGTCACTCATGGCTCCACAATCTCTCAAAGTAGTATCACCAGCTGGAAAACTTGTAGGAATCGTTTGAAAGATCAAACCCTAACGCTCCCCTTGAGGAGTTCATTTCTGTATTTCCTCTAACCATACTCGGTTCCCTACAGGTCACCACAAATGGCATCATCGCCATGAGCGAACCCCCAGCCAGAGAACTGCATCCTGGAACCTTCCCACCCAGCTTTGGATCAGTGGCGCCTTTCTTGGCTGACTTGGACACGACAGATGGCCTGGGGAATGTGTATTATCGAGAAGACTTATCCTCCTCCATCATTCAGATGGCAGCGGAGTTTGTCCAGAGAGGCTTTCCAGAGGTCCCTTTCCAGCCCATTAGTGTGGTGGTTGTCACTTGGGAGTCTGTGGCCCCCTATGGAGGGCCCAGTGGGAGCCCAGCCCAGGAAGGCAAGGTGAGTGAACCCCAAATGGAGATGTCAGTGTCTGGTGTCTTTGGACTTCTGGTTTGTGCTTGTTCCAATGGACAGCATGCCTGTGCTGTTGCTCAAGATAGGAAATCTAGAGAAAAATTCAGTAAGTTACTAGCTGCAGGTCAGCAACTTCCAGATACTTATCTATAGGGTTGTCTAAACCTGTTTCTATGAGTATCTGATGTGGAGAAAGCCAGTTATTTGAGGAGATTGCTCCATGGCTAACATATGCCTAGGAAATGATATTCCCTGTGTGTTCCCTCTTTAATTGAGAAAGAATAGGGAGTTAGCTTCTAATTATCTAGAGAGGTTATTAATAGGAAATGCCAGGTTCTGATATCAAAGTGCCCCTGAGCGGAGTAAAGTCCTCTAGTAAAGAAGCTGCCTTAGTAATACCTATTGGAACAATCCTCCAACCTTTCGGCCATATCTCCTCTTACTACTATCCCCTAGTAGGCCACATAGCATCCCACAGAACACGCTTTGGAGAAGTCTGTGACAGGTCTGCCTATCGCATAAGGCTTTGTAAAACTGGAAGATCGCCTGGCACAAGAATATTGAGCTCTTGCCTGCTGCTTCTTGGGTCTGACCATTAAAACTTCATGTAACCCCTCCAGCAGTTGTATCAGATGCTTATGTTTGCCTTGAGCATGCCTTTTCTTTTCTTCTGGTATGTTTTTAACCCACAATTTTTTGCACACACTGTCGTTTGTCCTTGAGATGATCCCCTGCTTGTGTGCTCAGGCCCTCCCTTATCCACCCTACCCAGCATGGACACTTCCTCATTTGACCTCCAGGTAGTAGTCTGCATGCACCTCTGTTACAGCGTCTGTCCTCAGACGAGGCCGTGGTTTGTCCTCTCCATGAAGAACGTACATTCCCAATCGCAGGAGAATGTCCGTTCTGCTAGGAGGGCGGCAAACAGCATGCTTGGAGGGTGTGATTGTATTGCTAGGTAACTGACTCTTAACCCCTTTTCACAGAGAAACACGTTCCAGGCTGTTCTGGCCTCCTCCAATTCCAGCTCCTATGCCATTTTCCTTTATCCTGAAGATGGTCTACAGTTCTTCACAACATTCTCGAAGAAGGATGAAAACCAAGTGCCCGCCATGGTTGGCTTTAGCCAAGGCTTAGTGGGATTTCTATGGAAGAGCGACGGAGCCTATAACATATTTGCCAATGACAGGGAATCGATTGAAAATTTGGCTAAGTATGCATATTCCTCACTTGTTTTTTCTTCATTAGAAAACATTATTGTTTTATAGTATTATTGTATATTGTTTTACCGAGGAGAATGTAATATATATTATGCTACCTAAGAATGTTCCTGTAGATTTAAGTTTTATATAGAGATATTTAAATGATGAAATAGTATTTTTTTCCTGGTGAACTTTAGGGAATATATTCAGCACAAAGAGATATTTTATTTGTTTTCATTTTTATTTATGTGTACCATATGTCTTTGTACCACATGCATGCAGAGCCCATGGAAACTAGAAGAGGGGATTGGATTCCTGGAACTAAAGTTACAGATGGTTCTGAGCCACCACATGGGTGCTGGGAATTGAACCCAGACCCTCTGGAGGAGTAACCAGTGCTCTTAACTTCTCAGCCATCTCTCCAGCCCCAATAGTTTGATATGTAGAGGGCACCCTTATGCAAAATTGTCTCTACTGTGTCCCCTATGAGTCTGAAGTCAGAAATGAAGGTAATTAAACCAGTCTCCTGCTAGGAACCTAAAGTGAGACTGATTTCACACCACACTAATGAAGGAACAATTCTTTACCTCACTTATACTCAGTGAAGCCTCACTGTAAAGCTGTTGTAGAGTTGACAGAAGAGAGGAATAGCCAAGATTAGTGTGTTTGTTTTGCTCCCCCCTGCCCCCAGACAAGATTTCTCTGTGTAGCCCTGGTGCCTGGAATTCACTCTATAGACCAGGCTAGCCTTGAACTCACAGAGACCCAACGGCCTCTGCCTCCTAAGTGCTGAGATTAAAGGCATGCACCACCACTTCTCCACTCACGTTTTAAAATACAGAATTTAGTGTGTGTGTCCGCACACTTCAGCACTAAGGATTGAATATAGTGTGTGTGTATGCACACTTCAGCACTAAGGATTGAATATAGTGTGTGTGTCCGCACATTTCAGCACTAAGGATTGAATATAGTGTGTGTGTCCGTACACTTCAGTACTAAGGATTGAATATAGTGTGTGTGTCCGCACACTTCAGCACTAAGGATTGAATATAGTGTGTGTGTCCACACACTTCAGCACTAAGGATTGAATATAGTGTGTGTGTCCACACACTTCAGTACTAAGGATTGAATGTAGGGCTTGTGCATGTCAGGCAAGCACTTCTACCATTGAGCCGCATCCCTAGCCCTTAATTTAATTTTCTTACAGTGACTGTGTTTCTTAACTGACTTGGAAAATTTCCAAAAAATGTAACAGCTGGCTCTCTCCAATGTGTAATATGACCACTTTACATTATTTCTGAAAGAATACTTCTCATCATAGACACACAAGAGCTATTAAAATGCTGGATCAAGCTGAGCAGTAGTGGTGCAAACCTTTAATTCCAGCATTCGGGAGGCAGAGGCAGGTGGATCTCTGTGAGTTCAAAAATTAGAGGTGAGGGTCACTATGCTGTATTTAGCATTATTTAATGCCTCAGGGTTTTGAATCTCATTTGCTTTTCAGTGTGTGTGCACTGTCTTCACACACAGACCTCCTGATCAACATGTACGGGTTTCCCCTCACACTAACAAATGCTCCAATTCTCGGGATACTGGCTGAGTGTCCTGTAGTTTAGATCAGGTCTGGCACTAACTAGATACCTGGAATCAATGCAGTCCCCACAGCTAGGCAGCCTTGACCCACAAGATGCCCCGACCTCAGCTGCCAATGCCCAGATCCTACAGTTGTGCCTGTGCTTCTGACCACACCACTATCAATCGATTTTCATGACCCTGTCTATTCTCAGGATCTGCAGCTTACTAGAACAGCTCACAGAGCTCAGAAAAGCCCATTATGTTACTATCCCTGAGTTGTTATAAAGAATCACTTCAGAAGGCTGGAGAGATGGCTCAGCAATTAAAAGCACTTGTTGCTCTTTCAGAAGACCTTAGTTCAGTTATCAGCATCCTCATCCAGTAGCTCACAACCACCTGTAACTCCAGCTCCAGGAGATCTGATGCCCTCTTTTGGCCACTCTGGGTAACTGCATGCACATGTACATGCACATAAATAAATAATAAATCCTAAAAACAAAAACACCACAGGATTGGAGAGACTGTTCAGTTGGCAGAGGACCTGAGTACCATCACTAGAACCCACATAAAAAGCCAGACATGGTAGTGTCTGCTTATAAATCCAGCACGGGGAGGTTGAGATGGATGGATTTCTGGCATTTTGCCAGTCATCCTTGTCTACTTAGTGAGCCCCAGGACAGTGAGGGAGCCTGTCTCAAAAAAACCAAGGTGGATGGTACATGAAGAATGAGGTCAACTGGAGGATGACCTCTGGCCTCTATTTGCATACGCACACACGGTACACATGTACCTGCTGCACACAGGTGCCCCCTCTCTGTGTCCCCCATTTACACACCAAAGAGCACACTGCAGTAGCAGTCATCGGGGAAGGAAGGAGAGGGTAAGGAGTGGGATGAGGTGCTGTGCCTGCCCACCCCTTACTTTGGTCCACCTTCTAACACCCGCCTTCACACATTTACCCATCAGCTTTCCCAGTCCTGCCATTCCGCGTTTACATTGAAGTTGCATCATGTGTGGCCTTTGATCTCATTGACCTTAGGTGATGGACTGCATTGGAAGCCCAGCATCCTCCTCCCTGGAGATAGAGATGGAACCGGGCTTGGAAGGGGCAGAACTTCTTGGTCTATTGGCCAAGGGGTTCAGTCACTGATCATCTCATTAGCATAGAAAGTTGCTTTTGTTTTGTTTTTGTTTTTTGAGACAGGGTTTCTCTTTGTAGCCTGACTGTCCTGGAACTCACTCTGTAGACCAGTCGGGCTTCAAACTCACAGAAATCCACCTACCTCTGCCTCCTGACCACTGGGATTAAAGGCATGCACCACCACTGCCAGGCAGAAAGGTTACTTTTGTCACACTGAAAATTCCAAGGGTCATTGGAGCTCTAGGGTCATGCACCAGGGACAAAAACCAACTGTATTTTCTCTGTGTATACAAATATGTTAGCTGGTCATGGTGGCACATGCCTTTGATCCCAGCACTCAGGAGACAGAGCAGGTGGATATCTGAGTTTGAGGCCAGCCTGGTCTACAGACTGAGTTCTAGGATAGTCAGGGATACAAAGAGAAACCCCATCTTGAAAAACAAAACAAAAGCCAACCAAACAAACAAACAAAAACCAATGTTTGACTCCATGCAATGAAAAGACAATAGTGGGGAAATGAATCTCTAGTCATCTGAGTTCATGAGATGGGGCACATAAACAGTGAATAGTATGAGCTGATGGCATTGAGAGTCCTTAGTGTCCTAGGATGGCACTAGAGATAAACTCTTCATGGTGCTGTGTCTGTTTAGACTCAGTCTTACTAAATACTTCCTATGTGTTTGAGCTCTGTAATGACCACACATAACAGCTGCTGCCCTCTTGGATACCAACCCTTGCTGAGGGTAGACACATGCCTTGGGTTTCGGATGGATACTGGTTACCTGAGCTTATCCTGCCTGCTTGGACAATGGGGGCTACTTGTGGGCTGTGGCCTGTTCTCAAGATGTCTTCCTTGCTTTTAGGAGCAGCAATGCTGGGCACCAGGGTGTGTGGGTATTTGAGATTGGGAGTCCTGCTACTGCCAAGGGTGTGGTGCCTGCAGATGTGAACCTAGACCTGGATGACGATGGAGCAGATTACGAGGATGAAGAGTATGACCTGGCAACCCCTCGCTTGGGCCTGGAGGATGTGGCCACCCCACCTTTTCCCTCCCATAGTCCAAGAAGGGGAGACACTAACCCACATGATGTACCCAGCTATGAGGCTACAGAGAGACCCCATGGAATCCCCACTGAGAGAACCAGGTCTTTCCAATTGCCAGTGGAGAGGTTCTCCCAACAGCACCCCCAGGTCATTGATGTGGATGAAGTAGAGGAAACAGGAATTGGTAAGACATCTGTTTTACAGTTTGGAACCTTTTTTGCCTGTTTGGGTTTCTAGACAGGAGTTGGCTTAGGTAGGGTGGGTCATGTGCCCATAAGGTGGCTTTATGGGGAGCAGATGGCCTGAGGGAGCAGGAGCTGAATGCTCGCATTGAAGATCAATTGGTACATAGGCCCAGTGGCTTCTGAGTGGCCCAGTGATCTTTTAGGATTAGAGCTTTGGTTCTAGATACAGTGGCGGTATGCCTCATTTCAAGGTTCTTCATAATGTATTCTGTTTTAAAGAGAGTAGGGGCCAGAGAGAGATGGTTCAGTAGGTAAAGGTGCTGACATCCTAAGTTTGATCTCCTGCAGCCCACACAGTAGAAGGAGAGGAATGATTCCCCCAGTTCTCTGATGGCCACATATATGTATGTGTGTACACACAAATGAATAAATAAACGTATTTTTTTTTCAAGACAGGATCTCATTTATGTAGCTATGGATGGCCTAGAACTTATCGTAGACTGGGCCAGTCTTGAACTCGTGGAGATCCTGCTGCCTCTGCTTCCCAGGTGCTGGGATTAAAGCCATGCACTACCATAATCTGACTAATAATTTTTCTCTTTTAAAATGTCATTGTTGGGTGCTGTTAGCCCAACATTGTAGAGGCTGAGGCAGGAGAATCAAAGTTTCTAGCTACATAGTGAGTTCCAGGCCAGCCTGAGATGCAATAAGATCCTGTTTCAAAAACCAGAAGAGAAGGAGGGGGAGACTTTAGAATATTTTGCAACTCAAGTTTCTTCTTTGTGACCTTTGAGATGGATTCACCCACCTGAGAAAACATTCTAGCAGCTCCTTTGGCTCTTCGTGCAGCTTTTCTTCCACATTTTTTCCTCTTGGTTTTGGAATTCAAACAGCTGATTATTTTTCCTCCTGTCAGTTGCAGAGTTGCTTTCTAAAGAACACACACACACACACACACACACACACACACACACACACACACACACACACACACACGCACGCGCGCACACACACACGCACGCGCACACGCACATGCACGCACACACACGCACACACACACACACATACACACACACACACACACACACACACACACACACCCCAGAACCTCTTAAAAGGTAGTTTTATATAATGTGGCTGCTGCTGCTTCTTCTTCTTCTTCTTCTTCTTCTTCTTCTTCTTCTTCTTCTTCTTCTTCTTCTTCTTCTTCTTCTTTTTCTTCTTCTTCTTCTTCTTCTTCTTCTTCTTCTTCTTCTCCTCCTCCTCCTCCTCCTCCTCCTCCTCCTCCTCCTCCTCCTCCTCCTCCTTTTCCTACCCTTTTCCCCCCTCCCCCTCCTTCTCCTCCTCTTTTTTTTTTTTTTCTGAGACAGGGTTTCTCTGGGTAGCCCTGGCCTCGAACCCAGAGATCTGCCTGCCTTTGCCTTCATGAATTCTAGGATTAAAGGCATGAACAATATGGTTGATTAGAATATATCATGAACAGTATGATATATTCTAATCAACCATATTGTATCAAGTGTTTCCTACATTTTGAGGAAAATTGCTTGAACATCCTTTAAGTATTATAAGACATTCTCAAAATCTGCTTGCCTTTTTCCTGAGACTGACATATAATGGCTGGTTTTAATTATCAACTTGATATAACCTAGGATCACCCAGAAAGAGAGTGTCAGTGAAGGATGCCTACATCAGGTTGACCTGTGGGCATATGTGTGGTGGGTTGTCTCGATTGCCTTGATGGATGTGGGAAGACCCAGCCTGAGAGTGAACAGCATCCTCCCATGGTTTTGGGCACTGGATTGTAGAAGAGTGGAGAGAGCTGGCTGAGTAGTAGCCACATGTTTATTTCTTCCTTTCTGTTCTTGGTTGTGGCTGTGATGTGACTGGCCGCTGCTTCAAGTCTCTGCCTTGAGCAGTGAGTGTAAGCCAGATAAACCCTCTTCTCTCCTAAGTTGCTTTTTGTCAGATTTTTTAAAATCATGGCAACAGGAAGAAAACTAGGAGATTCATTAAAAATACTCATTTATTTTTATTTTCTGTGAATGTGTCTTTTACCTTTATGTGTGTATGTGCACCATGTACATGCCTAGTGCCCAAAGAATCCAAAAGAGGCCACCAGATGCCCTAGAGCTGGAATTACAGGTGGTTGTGAGCTACCATTCAGGTGACAGTAATTGAATCTGGGTCCTTAAATAGCAGCAAATGTTCTTAACTGCAGAGCCATCTCTCCAGCCCCATCAAGACCCAGAAAAATGAGATAGACTTTTTAAATGTATCTCACAGGACTCTACTTTTCCCATTAAGTTGTTATTATAAAACTTCCTAGAAACATCTAGTTCATTCCATCTGCTAACTCATTTTTGTTCCTCTATCTTTGTTCTGATGTACATCATGGCAGTAGTCATTACTGTCTGCCCATATTGAATATCCACAATAGTCAAGATAGGCATTTATGAGACTGTGTGCTCATCACTGAGGCACAGAAGTGAACAAAATGCCATTTGGTGGAAACATGAGTTCATGGGTTCACATATGCCCACATGTCAACCTGATGTAGACATCCTTCACTGACACTCTCTTTCATGGTGATTCTAGGTTGTATCAAGTTGATAATTAAAACAATGTTCTCTGGATTTGGGGGTAGGGGAAGGGGTGCCCTTACATCTTGGCCAGCAGAACTCAACCTTTAATTCTGCTACAGAGTATGTTTGCTTATAGATGTTAAGTTTTGAATTTCATCTTTTTTGCATACCCTTCCTAAGTATCTGAAATTATCATTTATTAAATTGTCACATTTATTTACTCCCCAACAGCAAATGGTGGTTATAGTAGCAAAAACCTAGACTTGAACTCAAAATGTATCTGTGACAGATGGCTTTTTTTGGTCCCTTTTTCCAGTTACTTCACTGTGTTTATTAGAAATGTCAGCTGTCTGAGGCCTACAATAACATTCTGGTGTTGTTTAAATAGTTTCCCTCACATATATAGAACATAGCAGACCTCCGATTGGGGGATTCCTGGCTTGAACTTATGCAATCAGGAAACTCTCAAGTTTGCTCAGGTGTCCTTGGCTTTGGTCACCAGCCATCTTTATATACACTGGAAATTCCAAGCAGTTGGAGCCAATACAATCTACCTGAGGATGAATTTTATTTTGATCTTCACTCATAAAATCAATTATAAACAGAATTATTATTATTTCTAGAAGTTCACTTCTCTTGGGATTTTGAACTTTATTCCAAACAAATTTGCTCTAGCTAGATCATTAAACTTAATGGGCTGGTTTGCAGTTCTGATAAAACAAATTTGGGGGGGTTGAAATTTAAACTAGAGAGGGATCTTAGAAGAGGTGTGATCAAAGGATTGTTTCTGATGGAATGTTTTTTCATTTTTATTTTTTGAGACTATAAAATAATTATATCATTTCCCCTTTCTTTTCTTTCCTCCCTCCAAATCCTCTCGTGTTCACCCCCACTTTGCTCTCTTTCAAATTCGTGGCTTCATTTTCTTTAATTGTTATCACACACACACATACATGTGCACACGTGTGTAATTTCTATAATATTAGCTTTTGAGCATCAGAGCTTTTGAATTAACCCGAGGAAAAGGGTAGGGATACATACACACACACACACACACACACACACACACACACACACACACACACACACACAAATAAATGTAAAGATGGCTAAAATGGCATTTTTATGATATGTATTTTGTCACACCAGAAATTATTTATAAAAAGAAAGACTATTTGGGCTGGGGTGTAGCTCTGTTGGCAGAGTGTTTTTCTAGCATGCGTGAAACCCTGAGTTCTATCCCAAGCACTCCATAAACCAGGCATAGTGGTACACGCCTGTAATCCCTGTACTCAGGAGGTGAATATAGGAAGATCAGGAGTTCAAGGTCATTCTCAGTACTTAGTGAGTTTGAGGGCAACCTGGGGTACATGAGACCCTGTCTCAAAAAAACAAAAACAAAAATGGGATACAAGTATGTTCTGAAGCTCCTAACCAAATGAAGCTGCTCCTTCTGGCCGTATTAGATGGACAACATCCTAAGATTGATATTGAGTGAGAGTACCCTCATGTTAACTGACATTAATACACTGCATTGTGGCAGTTTTTAAGCATTCATACTTAACGACTTCTCAGCTTCTTGAAGACTTGTTTACATCAGTGGTCTGAGTAATGGAGCCCCATCTCTATCCAATAGCCACACTCATGCCCTGGACTTTCATCTGTTCTGGTCAACTTGGCTCCTTGAAGGTCTTAGGTAGATGGGAGTCCATTTGGCTCGAGGGCACCCATATGGAAATGCCTCTCAGCTGAGAACCTGCAGAGCCTTCATGGGTATGCTTCTGTTTTCTCCAAACAGTGTTCAGCTACAACACAGGCTCCCAGCAGACATGTGCCAACAACAGACACCAGTGCTCTGTGCATGCAGAGTGCAGAGACTATGCTACTGGCTTCTGCTGCAGGTGCGTGGCCAACTACACGGGCAACGGCAGGCAGTGCGTAGCAGAAGGTAATGTACTTTTTCCTCTGCGTTCTCAACTTGGGGGAGAAGGAAAGGGAGCACCTTTTGGGTCTTGATGCTTGTTTACAGACATGGCCTTTGCCCTGATCTCTGGATCTTGCAGGTTTTAATGATATCCTCTCTGTTACATTCTCTGATGGGCATTCCTCCCAGGATGTCCATTTTTTTTTTCCTGATATGGCACATTATCTTGTTCCCCTGTACTCCTGGCCCATTTCTGAGGTGACAGCCACCAGGAGTCTCTCTTCACAGCTGGCTCCTGACTGCAACAGAAAGATCTAAGTGTTGAAATGATGCAACCAGGACCAGAGTTGTTCTCCCTCATTTTCCTGCACTCAGAGCTTTGTCTTTGGAGTCCCCCCAGCTCTTTGTTTCTTAGCTCTTGAGACAGTATTTTGCCATGTAGCCTGGGCTGACCCCAAACTTGAGAGTCTCCACATGGAGAGTGCTGGGGCTGCAGTGTGCACCCCAACTTGGCCTGAGACTCTAGCTCTGAGTGCAGTGCTTGTATCTCTCTCCTCACCTCTCCTTCACCATGGGAGCCCACAAAGGTTTCCTAGTGAGATCTGAGCTTGCTTTACACAGCAGGGCTGCAGTAGGGGATGGCTTGACCACATGCATGGTTACTAGGTGTTTGGAATGTTCTGCACTTGGCTGTGCTGGGGGGAGGTCTTTTGCTCTACCCCTTGTCATTCCTTAAGAAGCCCTTTAGAAGAGACAGAAGGGGCTGGTGGGTTTTGATCCAGGCCCTCCCAAGGCTATCCTGTGTTTCTATCTGTCTCTCTTTCGCTGTATTTTTATCTAAAATATTCCCACTTCTCCCTCCTCAAAAGAAAAAGGGGGAGCTGGTCTCCCACACTCTCCCCCTCCCTCTCTCTCTCCCACCTTCTTTTCCTCATGTCCTTGGAACCGCAGCATGCCTGGGGTGAGGCCGATAGGATGTTGTCCTCAGTTCCGGCTTGTCAAAGCCAATGCACATCCAGCTCCAAGGTGGATTCCATGATAGCTGAGGTCAGCTTTGACCTCTGTCCCCAAAGGACTGGCTGGTCCCTCTGCCCCACGTGGTCAGAGGAATCTTCCCTGTAAGTCTAAGGTCCTTGCCACAATCATTACTTTGGGAGCTATAAGTTAAAATGAAAATAAATGACAAAACCTTACTGAATTTGGCCTTTGTCCCTTCAGAAGCCACGCACGGAACACCTCGCTTGTCACAATCTACCTTCACTTTAGTTGCTTTGTCAAATCTGACTAACTAAAATCTAGTTGGAGAAATGTGTGTTGTTTCCAGATGCCTCGTTGTCATAGCTTCCCTGAAATCAGGATTGTTTTAATGACACACACACACAGAAATTGTTTCCCTCTTGTCGTAATGAAGTTAAGTGAGGTTTGTTTTATTTCCATCTATCTCCAGCAATGAACCAACATGCAGTTTAGTTGTCATATTAATTTGGGAGGGTGTTTTTAATTTTAGACTTTTCTATTTTCTTCCAAATCCTGTCACCCCAGGGGTGGAGTCCTTTTGAGTATTTGTTCTAGGCTTGGCTTTTATACCTTTTCACCCTAGAAGAAGCTTCCAAAATCCACACAGAAGTGTATTCCCTTCCTTCTTCTTTCCCCCTGCCTCCCCCTCCTTTCTTTCCTTCCTTTCTGAATCTCTGGGTGTTGGGTATTGAGGCCAGGACCTGGTGCTTCCCAAGCAAGCACTCTACCAACTGGACCATTTCCTCAGCCCAAAGCAAATTCTTAAAGAACCACCTCATTAGCTCCCTCCCCCCAATATCAGAGCTAAAAATGCTGAGCAAATGTTGGCATTGAGCTCAGGAGTGACAAACTGTTCGGCCACACATTTTGACATTATGTGCACACCCTGTAATTGCTTTGTGGTTTAAGTATTTGTTGGATTCTTGCTACTTAAATATATATATATATATATATATATATTCTTTAGACAGGCGTGGTGGCTCATTCCTATAATCCTAACACTCAAGAAACTTGGGCAGGGGGATTGCTATAAGTTTGAGGCTAGCCCAGGCTGCAGGATGAGTTCCAGGCTAGCTAGGGTTACAGAATGAGAGCAACCCCCAACTCAAAAACCAAGTGGGCAAAAGCTAATAGAGTCTGTGGAAGCGCTTTATTTGGCTTCCTTAACTTGGCTTCCTTCCTTGTTTCTGTAATGTTCTTGGAGTGCATTTTTTTACCATTAGCCTGTAAGGGTCACAGCACTCCCCAGTGTAATGACACAGTGAGTGTACAGAGTTACTCTGTGTCTGGTATGTCCTGGCTGGTTGGTGACCTTGTTTAGCAGCTCTCCTCAGAGCATAGATGATCCCCAATGGAGGAGGTGGGGGGAAGCAATGTTCCCGATCATTCACAATCTAGGAAAATAAATAAAATATATCGTCAGTTGCTGATAGGGGGCCAGGGGTGGAGCTCAAGGGCAAAGCCCTCATTCAGTCTCATGTGCCAAAAGAAAAAGGAAACAAAGAATTTAATTCTACATCCAACTTCAGCAACGCAAGGTGACCCTTTACTTGCATCTTTCTTCAGTTTTTGTTCTTATTTTACAGTATAATTCACGTGCCTCTGTGTGTGTGCGCGCGCGCATGTGTGTGTGCACGTGTGTGTGCGCGCGCGCGCATGTGTGTGCGTGTGTGTGCGTGCATGTGTGTGCGTGCGTGTGTGCGTGCGTGTGTGTGTGTGTGTGTGTGTGTGTGTGTGCGCGCGCGCGTGTGTGTGCAGTGTGTGAAGGGTTTGTGTATGTACACATGTGGAGGTGAGAGGTCAGCAGCAGGTGTTTTCCTCTATTGCTCTTACCTAATTTTTTTTTTTGAGACAGGGTCTCTCACTGAACCTCAGGCTCACCAGCTGGCTTGTCTAGCTGACGAGCAAACCCCAAGGAGCCTGTTGTCTTCCTTCTCCATCCTAGTGCTGAGGTTACAAGCGTACATTGCCACACCGGACTTTTTACATGTGTGCTGGGGTCCTGAACTCAGGTCCTCATGCCTGTGCAGTGCTGGGATTCCTAATGCCTGGGACACACAATTATTGGTGCCCATTATCAGTCATGTGGGAGAAAGGGGAGGTGCTGGGATCCCTGAGGCACCTGGTGTACGGTGGTGGGAACCTAGCATTCTGCCCATTAGCACCACATGCAACAGAGGCAGGGGCATTGGGAAATCCAGGGCTTATAGCACAAAATCGCAGCTACAAGTATTTTCATTTCCCCAAAAGCCATTTCCCACAGCAAGGTCTCCTCTCTGCTTTCCTAATGAATAGACACATTCTTCTCTATGGAAGGTAGGGGAAACCCATCTTCACCTTCTCCCTTTATTTCTGGCTCAGGCTCCCCACAGCGGGTCAACGGCAAGGTGAAGGGAAGGATCTTCGTGGGGAACAGCCAGGTCCCCGTGGTGTTTGAGAATACTGACCTGCACTCCTATGTGGTGATGAACCATGGACGCTCTTACACAGCCATCAGCACCATTCCTGAAAGCGTCGGGTATTCTCTGCTTCCCCTGGCACCCATCGGAGGCATCATCGGATGGATGTTTGCAGTGGAGCAGAATGGGTTCAAGAATGGGTTTAGCATCACTGGTAATTGATCCCCCAATTAAAATGAATGGGCTCCACAGTCGTGGGGGAGGTCAGAGAATGAACGGGTTTGGAACTCAGAAATAAGGACAAGGAAAAATTCATGTATAGCATATTCATTAAGGGAGGCCATCTGGAACTGTGTTTTGATGGAGGAATGGTTTCTTGATGGGGATTCAGAAGTCTCCATATTTGATGTTGAGATGGCACAGCCAGTAAAGTGCTTGCCTTGTAAGCATAAGGAACTATATGCCCACTGCCTGGAACTCACATAAAAAGCCAGATGTGGTAGCATGTACTTACAATACCAGCACTAGGGAGACAGAGACAGGATCCCCGGGGCTCACTGGCCAGCCATCCTAATTGGTGAGCCCCAGATCCCAGTGAGAGACTCTGTCTCAAAAAACAAAGACAACTTTTGAGGAAGAACACCCAAGGCTGACCTCTGGCCACCATACATACCCATACACATAGGTATACCCCACACCCACAAACATGCACACCCCCCTTCACCTGTGTACAAAGGTTTACATGCAGTCATGCCCACAAGCTTGAACACACAGATACACCCTTACACAATCTTACACAGACATAGAAAAGTCTCCAAAGTTGAACAAGAGTTATCAGCTCATGCATCTCACCCATCTGAAAATGGCATTTCATATCTCCGTATCTGCTCAGGGAAAAGAACCTACCACTTCTAGCTGGTAAGTCCAACCTGATCAGCACCATCCTATTGAATGTTAGGAAACTTTGGAGGCTCTCAGAGGCCATACCCTGTAAGGGAGGCTGAGTCTTGTGGGTATATGTGGGCAGGTCACTGAGGGGATCCTTCCTTGATGTCACAGTGTCTCCTCCCATGCTCTGCCAAGGTCAGCTCCCTGTAGATACTGAATGAAGCCCATGGTAGAGGAGTCTGAGTCTGTCTTAGGGTTTCTATTGCTGTGATGAAACACCATGACCAAAACAAGTTGAGGAGGAAAGGGTTTATTTGGTTTATTCTTCCATAGCACTGCTCATCATCAAAGGAAGTCAGGACAAATAGCAGGAACTCGAGGCAGAAGCTGATACAGACGCCATGGAGGGGTGCTGCTTATTGGCTTGCTCTCATGGTTTGCTCCGTCTGCTTTCTTATAGAACCCAGGACCACCTGCCCAGAGGTGGTGTCTTAGGGTTTATATTGCTATGAAGAGACACCATGACCACAGCAACACTTATAAAGGAAAACATTTAATTGGGTCTGGTTAGAGCTCAGAGGTTCAGTACATTATGGTCATGGAAGGAAGCATGGTGGCATGCAGGCAGACTTGGTGCTGGAGAGGTACCCGAGAGTTCTACATCTGAACCAGCAGGCAGGAGGTGTGAACTGTGAGCCACTGAGCCTGGCTTGAGCATCCAAGACCTCAAAGCCCACCCCCACAATGACACACTTCCTCCAACAAGGCCACACCACTCCAACAAGGCCACACCTCCTAATAGTGCCAAATATTAAAACACACAAGTTTGTGGAGGCCATACCTATTCAAACCACCACAGGTGGCATCACCCACAATGGGCCAGGGCCCTCCCACATCAACCACTAATTAAGAAAATACCCTGCAGGCCTGCCTAAAGCCCGATTTTAGAGGCATTTTCTCAATGGAAGCTTCTTCATTTCCAGTGACTCCAGCTTGTGTCAAGTTGACAGAAAACTGACCAGCACAGAGTCCATCATCATTCTCAGGACCTGCACCCATTGTCCTGGGCTGGGTACATTAACACTGCCTCCTTCTCTGTAGGCCTGCCTTCTCCCTCTGCCCTTCTCCCCCGAGTTCCTCCCGTCTTCTGTTCCTTGTCACATGTGTTCTGTCACCCTCTCTTATTCCTCTCTCTTTTCCTGTTAGGCCCTTTCTCCCCTTCCTGCTCTCCTTTCTACTTCCATATTCTACAAACATATAATGTATTGAAATATATGATAACGGACATGTAAATTTCCATCTAGATTCTGTGTAGGAGAGATACCACACGATATTTGTAGTTCTGAGTCTGGCTTAGTTCAACAAGCCAGGGTAGAAGAGGGGCCTGTCTCTCACTCATGAGCCTAGGACCAGCAGGAGGGTGTACTTGCCAGGCGACAGAGTGACAGGCTTGTCTTGCTTTCCAGGGGGTGAGTTCACACGCCAAGCTGAGGTGACCTTTGTGGGGCACCCAGGCAAGCTGGTTCTGAAGCAGCAGTTCAGTGGTATTGACGAACATGGACACCTGACCATCAACACGGAGCTGGATGGCCGAGTGCCACAGATCCCCCACGGATCCTCGGTGCACATTGAGCCCTACACAGAGCTGTATCACTACTCCAGCTCAGGTGAGTCCCAGACTGTGAACTCCGGGAACTGACAGTCTGCATGTGCCCACTCACTCTGATGGAGCAGTCTCCCTGGGATCTGCAAAGGGCTGGAACATGCAAGACTATTCTTTATTTTAATACCTTTCCCCCTAAGTACAGACAGAAGACATACTTGAAGAGAATTTACTGCAAAACAAGAAAATAAGGTGTGTTGGAACACATCAGTCATCCCTACCCTTGGGAAGCTGACTTTAGAAGAATTGCTACACAGGCCAGCCTCAGCTACATAGCAAAAAACAAAAACGACACCCAGAAAATGGGGTGGGCCATAGCTCAGTTGGTTGAGGGCTTGCCTACGTGCATAGAATGTGTGAAGCCCTGAGTTTGATCCCTAGCACTGCATAAACCAGGTCAGGTGGCATATGCCTGTAGTCCCAGCATTTGGGAAGTAGAGTCAGGAAGATTAGAAATTCAAGGTCATCCTCAAGTGCACAGTGAGTTTAAGGCCAGCCTGGGCTACATGAGGCCTTGTCTAAAAAGAGGAAACACAACAACAAAAAAGAACTCCAAGAAATAAACCTGAATACAATTTTTAGATTTAAATATATTTTGCAACTTTTCTCCAGTGTCTATCATCTATATTAGGTCATATGCCACCCCGACAGTATTACAGAATTCAAGATTTTGTTATAATGTATCTATTTGCAGTTTTTACACTTATTATTCTTCTTTTGGCATCTGTTTGCAGTTGAAAAGAGTGGCAGGAGCTTCTCCCTGCCACTTACTCAGCTTGCCTAGTTGCTAGCATTTGCCTCCTGTATTCTAACACACACACACACACACACACACACACACACACACACACACACACACACTTCTTTCTCCCTAACTGTTCAGAAGTAATGTCCCTGTAGGTGACCCCTTAAGTGCTTCAGATATTTCTTTCCTAAGAATAATGGCATTTTCCCACATGGCCACATCGTAACTATAAAAAAGTCAGGATTATTTTTAAAGCTTTGTAGCCCTAACTTGTCTCCAACTAAAGGCCATCCTCCTGCCTCTGCCTCCCAGATGATGGGATTACAGGTATGAGCTACCATATCAGGCTTTGGGATATTTAGCATAGAAAAACCAGTATGTAATCTCTGGCATGTCGTTTTCATTTGTACCACATCAATCAATTGTACGGCATTGCTATATCTTTACCTTTTCATTAACACCAAATCATGCAGATTCACGAGTTCGTTAAGTGGCTTTGAAAGGCCTATTCAAGGAGTCTGTCCCCATCCTACTGGGTGGTCCTCCTGTTCTCAGAAGTGTAAATTACACTAGTTCCCCCACCCCATGCTGAGTTGAAATGACCTCTTGCATGGGAATCTTGGCCACATTTCCATTTGTTGTTTGTTTGTTTATGTTGCTGGGGACTAAACTGAGAGCCTCAGGCAAAGCTGCAATGCTGAGCTACATCCCGAGCTCTTGGCCACATTTCTGACCCTTGCAATACTGGGAATGGAGCTCTGGGCCTTGTGCAGACTGGACAAATGTCCTACCACTAAGTCCCACCCTCAGCCCCTCTTTTTGATTTTAATAAAGTTTTAGGGTTTTTTTGTTGTTGTTGATTTGTTTGTTTTTTGGTTGTGAGCCTAGCCTTCAACGGCTAAGCCATCTCTCCAGCCTGGTTTGTTTATTTTTTAATGTTTATAAGTTGCCTAGAATTATTGAATTCATTCTGTAGCTCAAGCAAGCCTTGAACTTGCAATCCCCCTGCCTCAGCTTCCCAAGTAGCTTGGATGACAGGCATGCATTATCAGGCCTGCCTTTCTGACCCTTTTCTGAGACTCAGTTCTTAGAAACAGATGCTGAGTCAAATGATATGAACTTTTAAAAATGCTGTTGTTAAAGTACCATCCAGGAAGGTGGTACCCATGGCCAGGGCTGGGAGCCTGTGGAAGGAAGGAGAAACAGGGCCAAGGGCCTCAGACTGCCTGCAGCCAGATGGCTTGCTGGCAGCCAGCATATGGGAGCTGGATGGGAGACAGCGCACACTGATCCTTTATTTATCCTCTGGCTTTCGTGGTTCTCATATGGAGCAGGCTGCAGCAGAACTCAGAAATAAAAAGGGTCCTTTATGCTTTAAAAAAACAAAAAGGGAAGTGGAGGGCTTTGTTGCCTGGGCTAATACCCACCCTTTTCTGGGTAGGGAGACTGTCTCCCCTGTCCTTGGCTGAGACTGCTCTTGGTAATTTTTCCAAAGTTGGCTGCTACAAAACATTCCATATTGCATCTTTTAATACCACAGAACTATTTAATCCACGGTGATTGGGCGTAACCACTATTTATTGATTCCTAAGTGAGAAATTCTATGGAAACCAGCTCTGAAGTAGTAAATGCTTGATTCCGTGTAATTCACAAATGTGATCTTAGATTCTCACCCTAGCTCCTTCTGAAAGAGAAGTTGAGGCAAAAGCCGCTGGTACTCGGTGGGTGGTTACATCAGCTGGGAGGAGTGAGTCCACGTGTGCCTTCTTCTGAGCGGCACTCTTTTTGCCAGACCTCATCTCAAGTTCTTGGGGTCTTGGGAGCTTATAGTAAGCTTTAATACAAGTCAGCAAGTACTAACGTGAGGGCCACCACTATGCTACAGGAGAGGAGAAAGCCGCAGGAATCCAAGCACAACAAATTGTCTTATTTAAGTTGCTGCAGCAGACTTGTCGTTGATTTCATTGTGGGCAGGGACTTCTACTGAGGCCCTCAAAGCCTTTGGGGAAGCTCCTCAAATCTGTCTTCCTCCCACACCTCAGTGATCACTTCCTCCTCCACCCGGGAGTACACGGTGACTGAGCCTAATCAAGACGGCTCACACACCCATGTTTACCAGTGGCGTCAGACCATCACCTTCCAGGAGTGTGTCCATGATGATTCCAGGCCAGCCCTGCCCAGCACCCAGCAGCTCTCCGTGGACAGTGTGTTTGTCCTGTACAACCAGGAGGAAAGGATCTTGCGCTATGCCCTCAGCAACTCCATCGGGCCTGTGAGGGGTAAGATGGCTGGGGCTCACGCCGGCATCCCCTGTGTCCCTCACGCCGGCATCCCCTGTGTCCCTCCTACACATGACTCTGCACTCATACTTGTCAAAATCTCCGCTTCTTGAATTTGGGATTTTGGTCTCTTACTCTCAGTCTATAGAAGAAAATGATGGTCAGCTATCCTGTGAAAGCATGTGGTTCTTGGCAAACAGACCTGCCTTTGTTCTTTCAACTAAAGGCCTATTCATAGGGGTGTCCGGGCTATTTATTCATGAGCTTTCAGGGCAGAAGCTACCCTGATGAGTTCCCTCACAGAGCCAACCAGCCAAAGGCTACTTCAGACTCTAGTGAACAGGTTTTAAAAAACTCATTTTTACTTTTTAAAGGACCACATTAAAAACTGTTCATATTATGGGATATGAACTAAATAACTCCAACAGGTGTATCCAGTATGCAGTGATTGGGCAATGGGCATGTCCATCCCAATGCATGTGTCCTTTCTCAGTGTTGAGAACATTCAGAATCATTACAAGCTATTTTGGCATGTGTGATTAACTGTTTAGTTACCCCACTGTGCTACAAAACATTAGACATTATTCCTTCCATCCAACTGTACCCTTCCTACCATCCTCTCGCCTTCTCCCCAGCCCCTCCATCCTTCCCCACCTCAGGCCGCCATTATTATTGTCGCTTCTGTGAAATCAACATTTTTAGCTGTCACGTATAACACTGGGCAGTATTTGTCTTTCTGGGTCTGACTTATTTTACTCAGCATACTGATTTCCAGGTTCTCCCATGTAGTCCCATTCAAAGGATGCCATTTCTTTTCGTGGATAAACAGAAGTCTACAGTGTACATGTATTAGATACTTTTTTGTTTCTGTGGTAAAATACCAGGACCAGAATCAACTTATAAAAGAAAGAGTTAATTTTTACCTTAGGGTTCCAGAAGAGTAGTCCATGATGTTCAGGGAGGCAGAGCATCAGATGGCTGGAGCGTGAAGCTGAGAGCTTACCTCTTCAGCCACAAACTTGAAGCAGGAAGAGTGAACTGGAAGTTGGCTGGGGCTGTGAACTCTCAAATTCCCCACCCTCCACATCATGTAACTTAGTTCTTCCAGCAAGGCTCCACCTCCCAAAGGTCCCACAACCTCCCCAAACATCACCACCAACTGGTAACCAAGTGTTCACATACCTGAGTCTATGGGGGCCTTTTCTCATTTAAATATGTATATGGTTTTTGTTGTTGTTTTCTGGTCTTAGCCAGCCACAGACACTTCATTCTGCCAGAGTCTCACAAAGGAGTGTGGCTTGTTGTCAGTAGAACTATTTATAGAAACGGGGGGGGGGGGGGGGGGGGTCAGAGAGGTAGAGCTTGGCGGTCCCACCATAGTGCAACACTCAAGGCTCTAGTCCCCATTGTTCTGCTCTCTTGGGGCAGGGGCTTACTTCCTGTGGCAGGAGGGCTGCTGGAAGGTTCTTGAACACTGTCTCTACCTTCACAGATGGCTCCCCTGATGCACTTCAGAATCCATGCTACATCGGCACTCATGGATGCGACAGCAACGCAGCCTGTCGCCCTGGCCCTGGAACACAGTTCACCTGCGAATGCTCCATTGGCTTTCGAGGAGACGGGCAGACTTGCTATGGTATTGCTCTTTGGTCTGATGTGTGGGGTGCTGGGCCATCAGGCTGGGAGGAATCGTTCAGGTTCTGTAAGCCAGGGAGCTGAGTGTATGTCACAGGAATGTGTGTGTTGAATATGTGATATACAAACATACCAGGAAAGGCATACCATGCCTGGATTGTGTATGTTACCCACTAACAACAGGGGGTACTGCCCCTATCATCATCAGCCCTAAACATGTTTCTCAGCCACAGATCGAAATTCCTTGTTTTGTTTAATACAGGGTCTCCTTGAGAATCCCAAGATGGCCTCAAACTCAAGACCACCCAACCTCTGCCTCCCAAGTGGTGGAATTCTAGGTGTACACTGCCTGGCTGTTTTAAACTATTTTTAAGTGTGTATACAGTTCAGTGTTATTAAACACAGTCACACTGCTATGAAGTTGTCACAATCATCCTCTGCTAGGACCCTTTCCATCTTGTACGACAAGTTGTGTTTGTGTTTATGGGACCACAGCTCCCAGTACCACGTTGCATGTTCTCATCACCAGCTCTTGTCTCCCACCCTTTGATGTATGTTTCTATGAATCTATTGACTCTAGAATAACACAGCACTTATCCTTTTGTTACTGGCTTATTTTGCTCAAGATTCAAAATTGTGTATGCAAATCTCTCCTTAAGATTCATCCATGGCATGGCATGTATTACAACGCTTCTTTCTTTGAAGGTTGAGCACTGTTACATTGTAGTACGGACTGCGTGATACTTTTTTGTTTTTTGTTTTTGGCTTTTCTTTCTTTTTCTTTTTTTGAGACAGGGTTTCTCTGTGTAGCTTTGCGCCTTTTCCTGGAGCTCACTTGGTAGCCCAGGCTGGCCTCGAACTCACAGAGATCCACCTGGCTCTGCCTCCCGAGTGCTGGGATTAAAGGCGTGTGCCACCACTGCCCGGCCCTGTTTTTGGCTTTTCTATCCGTTCAGATGAAGGGAGTTCCTTTCTTCAGAAGGCTATGCTTTATGGAACCTGCTGGCAGTCTCTTGTGAGTGGACATACTGCGACTACCTTTTGGCTACTGCAGTCAAGTCAAGGGTGTGATGAACAGGGCTTCTGTTGAAAGCTCCTGATTTCAGGTTTTTTTTTTTTTTTATAACCTCCAAAGTACGTCTGGCAGATCATTCTATGCTTAAATTTTGGCAGACCCTTCATGCTGTTTTCTATAACAGCCACACCATTTTATATTTCTACCTACAGTGCATGGGAGTTTCGATTTTCTCCATATTTTTTTTTGTATAAACACACACACACACACACACACACACACACACACACACACACACACACACACACACACACACACACATGGGGAACTGCATGCATATAGAGGCCAGAGGGCATCTCAGGTGTCATTTGTTAGGAACTCTGTCTACTTTTTTTGAAACAGGGTCTCTCATTGGCCTGGAGCTCACTGATTATGCTACAAGTCCCAGGGATGCCATCTCTGTCTAGAGCTGGAATTACAAGCGCATGCCTTGATGGTCTGCTTTCTGTGTGGGTTCTGGGGACGTCACTCAGGTCCTTGTGCTGACGTGGCAAATGCTTTGCTGATGACTTTGGGTCCCCAGCTCCAATGTTTCTACAGCTCTGTCAGCACTTGATGTTTCTATTGCTTTTTCTTTAATTAACAGTCACTGAGCCTCCTTACTGTGAGCCAGTGAGTAACTCAAGTCTGTTACTGGAACATCTGGAGTGCACTGCCTTCGGCATCATTTGTTTTATTGTTTAAAATTTCACTTCAAAGACTTTCATGTAGACAGCTTGATTAATATTTGTCAGTAACTGAATTTGAATCTATTACCAAGGAACAGTGTGCCCATGGCCGAGGGCAAGAGTGTCAGACCCTTTAACCAGTGCCACTGAAGTCTGCACTGAAGCACTCACTAATGAGGAGCAGGAATGCTGGATGTAGGTTTCCCTGGTAAAGGAGGGGTGTGCTCACAATGATCCACCCAGCAAAATGGGCTGCTATCTTCATCCTTGCGCCATTAGGGAACAAGCCCTGGAAAGCCAAATGCTTGGGGTTTGGGAATCATGCAGTAGGTCTGGAATCCCTTCTTGCTAGAGGCAAGATCTGGTGTATAGATCCTGATATAGGGTGGAGCAGGGGGGCATTTGCTTTGGAATGACCCTTCCCTGCAGGATGCTTGCTCGTGGTGCCCTGAAACACTGGCAAGCAGGGTTTTGTGCTTACATATGGGTGATATGATGATCTGGGTGATACACTGATGACTTTGTGTATCTGGTACTATTCAATCTGGTACTTACCTACCTGGTTGTAGAGCATGGTAGAGGGGACACAGAACTGAGCAGCCTGTGATTGTTAGTGGCCAGTTTTTCCCTGTCGTGAATGGCTGCGTTGGCTCAGGACAGTTCCAAGCAGCACAGTGTGAGTGTGAACCCTCTCATGAAGGTGGTAGTGGGGGGTCATGTTGGGAATGAGGGATTCCTTTGGGTCTGTATATAATGTCACCAGCCACCTACATATTGATGAAACATGGTTAATTAGTTGCTTTTCTTGTTGCTGTGATGAAATACTTGATGAAGTGACGTAAGGAAGGACAGGTATATTTTGACTCATGATTTGAAGGTCCAGTCTATCATGGCAGGGAAGGTCTAGCAGCAGGAGCTTAAGGCAGCTGCTCACATTGGTGTCAACGAGCAGAGAGAGAGAGATGAAGTCTGGTTTCATCTGGCTTTCTCCTTTTTATTCAGTCCAGTGCCCCAGCCCACGGGATAGTACTGTGGATAGTTAGAATACGTCTTCCCATCTCAATTCACCCAATCTCCCTCACAGACATGCCTGGAGACTTATCTCCTGGGTGAGTCTAGGTCCAGTGGAGCTGACCGTCAATGTTAACCATCACAGGTGGAGATGTGTCTGCTGCTGCTTATTATAAATGACCTTCTCACGCTGCTCTTGGTGTGTGAGCTTGACTCAGGAGTGCTCCTTTTAAGAGACACCCCCCACTTCCACCCCATGCTTTATGCACTCTGTAGTTGTCCCCGGAAATCCTTGGCCAGCCTTGTTCAGGAAGACAATGGCCATGCATGCACTTCCTTTTGTCCTCAGTTGGTCATCATTCTGGAGTATTAGCCTGATGGAATGTGGGGATGTCCTGACTCAGGCTCCTTATTGTTCTGAGTTACCAGAACAAGCTTCAGTGTTAACTCATCTGGACATGAGGCCTTTGATAGGAAATTGCATCAAGCATCTGGCTTTGTGAGTTGTTTTAACCTGGGGAGGCTCCTGAGAGGGGAACTAGGGTGAACCTCTGTGATTCAAATCTGTGGTGTGATATGATGATCCATGACATGCAAAGCAGGGCTGGTTTGAACTACTGTCTCCTAGTGAGATTTTCGGAGAATCTCAGAGCTCAGGGTTCATAGCACAATGGCGCCCACATATCCCTCACATGGTAATCTAGAGTACCAGTGTCAGTTAACCTCTCAGTAAGTAATTTCTGAGTTTCTAGGATGCATTCTACATATCGATAACCTTAAAGGGCCTGAAGTAAATTTCAGAAACATTGAAAATGAACCAAAGCTAATCACTGTGGGGGAAAGTCAAAGGATTAATGTAGGACTTGTGAGATGACTGATACACAAGTCTGACAACCCAAGTTCAAGTCCTAGAACCAGTGTTAAGAGCTGGATGTGGTGGCATGCACCTGTGATCCCAACCCTCCTATGGCAAGATGGGAGGGAGGCCCAGATGGGAAGCTCTAGGAAGCTCTGGGGCAGGCTAGACTGGAGTATACAGCACAGCAGAAACAACCCAGAGACCCTGACTCCCCAAAGTTGTCCTCTGAACTCCACATGCATGCATTGGCACGTGTGCACCCTCGTTCACACATACATACCACACAGCAACAATAATTTTAAGAAGTAATTCTGAAGTGAGTATATGGAACAAACCTGTGATCCCGGTAGTGGATGCAAGAGGATTGTGAGTTTGAAGACACCTGGTTTCAAAACCAACAAAACCAAACAAAAAACAAAACAAAACAACAACAACAAAATAAAAATGAATAATCTATGGTTTTTCTATTGAGCTAAAAAGGGGGTTCTCCTCTTCTCAGAGAGGAAGTTGACCAGATATTGAAAAAAATCCTCTTTAAGCCGATGTTGTGGGGTGCTATGATAGACAGTTGCCTTAGTTACCAGGTTACTGTTTCCATTAAAGAAAGGGTTAAGGACTTGAACTCAGTTAACAGAAGAGATTTAAATCACACATGAGGAAAATTTTACAAACTGCAAAGACCATGGGATCTTAGTGGGGACATTGGGAGTGTCTCGTCCCTAAAGAAACAGTGGTATCCAGCCTGGCTTTTCCTTACAGACCTGATAATGTGAAGCTGTCCTCCCCAATCCCACTCTGCCCAGGTCCTGTTGGCCTGCTGTGGCCTCTGCAGCTCTTGCACAACATATTTCCCTCTCTGTAAATGTTCCCAGCAAGGAAGGGCCTTGGACAAGTTCCCTTCGTGACTTGGCCCTGGCTTTTAGATGGAAAACTGCTGTTCTGCTCGGGTGCACAGTTGGGTCTGAGCCTTCAGAATGCAGCCCAGCACAGGGGTCCAGCCACCTGCTGTGAGAGTTCCGGCACAGTGGGAGCACAGGTGGTAGGCGTGAGAGACTATGCCCTATGCTGTGGGAGCAGCAGCTGGCAGATGGGCTTATGTGACCCCATCTTCAATATCTCAGCTCCAGCACGTGCTGTTCCCTACCCCTCCAGCTCTTCCCAGCAAAGTCCACTTGTCTGCAATCCTGGATCTTAAGACACACACTTACGCACATGCACTCATGCACTCACACACGCACTTAAAAAGTTGAATAGCATCGATTTTTGTGAAGGCAAACTACTGAGCTAATGTTGCAAAATGCTTGTTTTATGCAATTTGTCCAGTAAGTCAGCAGACTTTTTTTTTTTTTTTAACAAAAAAGGAAGGTTACCAGGTAAGCTATTCATCAAAGGTGGACCTAACATGCTTTGCTTTCTGGGTGTGAACAGTTCACATTAAGGAACTTGAAAGGGAAGAGGGTTGAATAGTACCAGCCATTATAAAGTCCTTTGCACACCTATCTCAGGAAAGATTATGGACTCTCTGAGTATGGGCCGGTACAGGAAGTACCTTATGTGACTACATTTCAACTTATGATTGGACTGATAGTGTAATGAGGGGCTAGCACTGTTTTTTATCCAGGCCAACCAACCTTATACCACTGGTAGCCATAGATGGCTTCCAAAGTCTGGTGGCCATCTGAGAGCTGTCTTCCCAAAATGCACTAGGGTTATAGAGTAGATGAGTGATGACTACAATCATGGCTACATGTCTTGAGTATGCTGCATGATCTCTTGGCCCACATCCATTTCCTCTAATTCCCAAAAAAATGTACCAATGAATATTATTATATTTACTTACTAATGGGGAAACTGGGGCTGAGTAGTTAACCTGCTCAGACAACACAAGTCAATAACAAAAGGAGGCAGAATTTGAACCAAGTACTATTCAAACCCAAGGCATAAGTTTTTGCTCCTCATTGCCCATGGTAATGGTTGTAGTACTGTCACATGAAAGGCCACCATTCTGGCATTTAAATGATGTAGCAACTTACCTTTGAGTCCATTAAATCTTAGGTAACATTCAAAAATTCTCAATTAGCTATAAATTGTCTAGCCTTTCTTTATAATCATAACTGTAGAAAGGTAGTTTATTTTAAAGACTGACTTACTTGTACTCTGGGAACCAAACCTGGATCCTCGGCAAGAGCAGTCCTCTATATCTTCCAATGTGTTTTGCCAGTCCAGTATGAGTGACTTGTTTGGATGGGTGTCCCTTTGATTACTCCCTCAGGAGGCACACATCACTTAGAAAAAGCAAACCGAGGGTTGCACTCTATTAATGTAAAGGGCAAAAAGGGGTTCTCCTCTTCTCGGAGAGGAAGTTGACCAGATATTGAAAAAAATCCTCTTTAAGTCGATTTTTTTTTTTAAACAATCTCTGTTACATATTACTTTGGGCATGTAAAAAATGTGTCTTCAAATGAATCTCTGCTCTGGGGAAAATGCTTTCTATTTGATTATTGTTTCATGGGGTTTAAAAAGTCTGCATTTTTTATCAACAATTTGCTGCAGATATTGATGAATGTTCAGAGCAACCTTCCCGGTGCGGGAACCATGCAATCTGCAACAATTACCCAGGGGCCTACCGTTGTGAGTGCGTGGAGGGCTATCACTTTTCAGACGGGGGAATATGTGTGGGTAAGTTCTGCAAGAAATTTTCCTGGGGTGACTACCTGTGTGGGAAAGGCGCGATTATGGGTTTTGATCCTCGTGGGGAGGCAGATACCAGTTTCTGCTATTAGAAAGGGGGATGAGAAGAAGCCCTACCCTCCACCTGCTTAGATGCTCTCGGCTGCCAGGCGCAAACGTGTTCTTGTGATGTATACACTAGTGCACGCTAGCAATGCATCAGTTTACCCGCTGTAAGCTTTCTGTTGCACTTACTTTCTATAAGTTTGTTTGGCTCATTTTCAGCATACATCTAATGGCTATTGAAGCTGTTAGCCTTGGTTCTCCATGTCGTTAGCAGCCATGGAATTCATGGTGAAGCATCTTTATACTCCTAGTTGCCTTAGATTGAATTCTACCTGAGTTACATCAGAAAGGAAATTCCTCTTGGCACCATTCCATTTATAGTCCTAATTTAATAAACCACAAGCTGAAGCATAGCTTTTTAGACCTACTAAGGTACACTGATTTTGTTAATTCATTAGGCTAATTATGTTCTTGATTGATGTTGATAATGAAGATGCTGGGTCAGTCATGAAGAACTAAATTTTACCTCCCACTTCACATTGGCATATTACATCCAAGCTATTTTTTACTTTTTTGAGATAGGGTATCATGTATCATAGGCTGGCCTCAAAGTCAAGTGGGATCTTGAACTTACTATCCTCCCATCTCTACCCTCCAGAATACTGGGGTTGTAGGCATGCACCACCACGCCCAGTCTATCAGTACTGAGAATGGAACCCATGGCTTCATGAATGCTCAGCAACTACTCACCCCAGATTTATCCCTAGTCCAAGATTTTATATGTATATAAATATATAATATGTATATCCCCAGCCCAAGTTCCAACAACTGAAGCTCAAAGATCCGTGGAGATTCACAGGTCTAGAAGCTAATATGCTGAGTGGGACAGATGTGTCTGTCTGAGTTAAAACACAAACCAACTGTACCAGTCCTTGTCCTGTCCCCGTGTGCTCTCTGGCTGTTTACTGTGACCAGTATGCATGCCTTCCCTTTGCTCCATCTCAGAGCTTGGATGAGGAGCCAAGGTCTGGATGAGGTGGTGTCTGGAGGGTGGGAAGGAACAGACAGTTCTCATGATTTGAGTGTGACCCAAACATCTGTGCACTCAAGGGGCCAGCCCTCTTTGTTGCAGAGCTTAGATTTTAAGCTTGCTATGCTGAAACATATTTTTTTTTTTAAAATCTTCGGAGAGAATGTCGGTTTTCTTGGCTTGACTTTTCCCTATGAGTTTTGAGCCAGGGAGGTTCTCAAGTTTGCTTTTAATATAACGCCATTGACATCCCTGGTTGGCTCAGTATGAGTGGTGGACTGGGAAGAGTTAGATCTCACTGAGATCTAACCTGGGGTCTATGTGGAGGAGGCAGATTGGCCTGGGTCTGCCCATTCCCTAAGGCCACACTTGAGAGCAGAGCAGTGCAAGAGCAGAGTGCAAGACAGGCTGTGTTGATGTCTTCTCCCAGACATCAATTCTCAGCTAGACGTTAACCTCCCAGGCCTTAACTCTCCATCTTCAAAATGAGATATTTGGACACAGTCACTTTGTACAGCCTCTGGAGCCCTTAGAGGTGCCTCAAGGAGCTGCCTAGGAGGGCATGGGGGAGTCACAGGCCAATCCTTGTCCTCTCCCCAACTCCAGCTTTCCATTTGTCTATAGATCAAATTCTGCATATGCTGTTTGAATAATGGATTTCATTGCTCAAAAATAAGACAGGCCTGGGGTGCAGATCTTTCATTTCAGCTACATGAGAGGCTGAAATGAGAGAGGATTACAGTAAAGGCTTGCTTGGCCTACAGAGTAAATTTGAGGCCAGCCTGGGCTAGAGATGCAGTTCATTGGTCAAACACTGCAGGACTGTGAAGCCCTAGGTATAATGGTATGGAACATGGTGACTAAAAGGGACAGTGTGATCTGGACCCAGGCAGCATCCAGACACAGTCCCCTTCTCAGAGCCCCATGGAGTCAAATCACTGGTGTGCTGAGAGCTTGGAAGGGTACCTACTTGCTCTGAGACTTTCTTCCAAAGGTTTTTTTTAAATTCATTTCTTTGTTCTTAAGCTGCCGTGGACCAGCGGCCTATCAACTACTGTGAAACTGGTCTCCACAACTGTGATATCCCCCAGCGGGCCCAGTGCATCTATATGGGCGGCTCCTCCTATACCTGCTCCTGTCTGCCTGGCTTCTCTGGGGATGGCAGAGCCTGCCAAGGTATGTGGTGGCTCTGAAGAGTAGCCTGGGTGTACTTACTGCGTGCTAATTATCAATACTCCCTATATGTAAGGAGGATGTGTTCTTTTCGCTCCATTGGGCAAGAGCCTTTTCTATCTTGTCAGCAACTGGAACTATGCATTTTCTTGGAGAGTTGTTCTCATTTGGGACCTCCTTAGCGTCCCCTGACCCCAAGGCTTGTTTCATTAGGCAGCAGTTAGATAGCTGCTCTTGGCTGGGAATTAAGGCTTGCTTGTGGTTTTTGTTTTTGTTTTTTGTTTTTAATACAAACAGTCCTTGCTTACATAGAGCTTAATGTCCATCTTTGTATGTAATGGGTTTTCTCTTTCCGGCACAAGAAGTGAAGTTCCCATTCTGAAGTCAGAGAAGAAATGACATCACAGAATCTTTCCAGGCTTGGGATCAGCCCATAGATAGCTGCCAGGGGACTTGTAATAGTAATTAACAGAGTAACTCAGGGCTCTTGGTTTGTAAAATTATGTAATATTGTACTGAACTTAAGTTCAACAGAGATTTCAGAGATACTGTCTCTCTGTTATTGACTATGTAATTTTTTCTTCTCTAAACACTTAAGGGTTCCAGAGGTTTGTGCTTACAATAAAGAGAGAACATCTGACAGTGTAAATTTTCCCCTTTTGCAAGTTCTCTGTTTACTTAAAACATTATTGTCATGTGAAACACATTTGTAAATGTACTAGATAGAAGTTGGGGTATGAGCGTCTTAAAAATTAATATTTAGTGAGTTTAAAGTCCCTGGACTCTAGTTAAAAGCAGATTCACATAGATTTGAGTGCATGGATTGAATTATTGTATCAACCACAAATTCTGGAAGCAATCTCATGGTCTCTCGGCCTGCGGCTGTTTTGCAGATGTGGATGAATGCCAGTCCAGCCGATGTCACCCTGATGCCGTCTGCTACAACACACCAGGATCCTTCACATGCCATTGCAAACCTGGCTATCAAGGGGATGGCGTCCGATGTGTACCTGGAGGTGAGATGGGGTGTTAGGAGTTGATGGCCCATTGATATGTTCATAAGATTTGATGGCCCAGGGAAGAAGGGAATGTGAGCAAGTGGTCCATGGAAAGTTCTCAGAGTTCTGCAAGTAGAAAGTCAGACCACAGGCTTTAGTGCTGAAACACACAGTGTACAATTTCAGAAGATACCTCACAGAGACCGAAGCCATGCTGGAATTTTAGAATGCATTGGTTCCCAGGTACTAGAGCAAGAAGCACAGGATAAAATCTGGGCGTTGGGATTTATTCACCAGGATACTCTAGAGAAACAGAAAACAGAACCAAGACAATATATGTGTGTAAATGTGTATATGCACACATATACATATACTATTAAAAGAAATTGAATCATGTCATTATGAAGACTATCAAAGCCCAGCATCTGTTTTCAGTAAGTAGGGAACCCAAAAAAGCCAATAGCTGATAAAAGTGTGGAGGCCAAAGAACCAGGAAAGCTTTTGGTAGAGTTCCAGTCCAGAGGCTAGTAGCCTTGTGACCCAGAAAAGGCTTGTTTGGTTTGGTTTGATTGAAAACACAGGAGACAAATGATTTCTGATTTGGAGGCTATCATACAGAAACAATCTCTCTCTCTCTCTCTCTCTCTCTCTCTCTCTCTCTCTGTCAATAGAGTCTCACTATGTAGCCCTGAAGAGCCTGGAATTCACTATGTAACTAGGTTGGCCTTGAATTCACAAGAGATCCTCCTACCTCTGACTCCAGTGTGCTGGGATTAAAGGCATGTGCCATCATGTCTGGACAAGAGTTCTCTTTTATTCAGAGGAGGAGCAGTTTTGTCCATGTTCTGCCCAGGCCTTTATGTGACTGGACAAGGCCAGGGAGAACAATCTGCTCAGTATGTCATCTGAAATACTCAGGATGACGTGACCAAATATCTGGGCATCGTGTGGCCCAGGCACATTGACATAAACTCAGTAGGAGCCTGAGAGTGTTGAGGAATGGAACGTGTGATGGGGAGATGGAGTGAAGAGCCCAAGTCAGGGAAGGTATAACTAAGGCCTTCGTGGAATGCTCTACATCACCTGTCACCTGACCTGAATTTGTGGCTTTTGGAGTTATTGCTTACTTGAGACTTGAGTGGACCTTCCCTGGCATGTAGGTAACCAGAAGCCCCAAGCCAGGCCTGGATTGAGACTGGGACCTGGTAAGGCTCTCAGCAAATGCTGTTGAACAGATAAGCATAGTTGGATGCTGGCTGTACAGAACCTGCTAGGCATGCACAGCGCTTGTGTTTGTCAGTTTTCAGTTGTGGGAACAAAATACCCAAGACAATCAACTAGGGAACAGAATTTCAGACCATTGTCAGTTGGTGTTGCTGCTTTGGGCTGGGGTGAAGCAGAACCTCATGGTGAGGAGTATGGAACAAAGCCAAGTGCCTCACCGACAACTAGGAATCAGAAAGAGAGGTGGGGTGCCATGAGATGGCTCAGCAGGTAAAGGTGCTTGCTGCCCCAAATCTGACAACCTGAGTTTGATCCCGGAAGACTTTTGGTGGGGAGAGAGAACTGACTCTCATAAGTTGTCTTTGACCTCCACATGTGCTGTCTCACATGGGCACCTGTGTATGTGCATGTGTGCACCTGAGCACACGCATACACACGCAGTGTTTCTAAAAACTGAAAAAATAAGCCAAGTAGTGATGGTGCATGCCTTTAATCCCAGCACTCAGGAGGCAAAGGCAGGCGGATCTATGACTTGAAGCCAGCCTGGTCTACAGAGTGAGTTCCAGGACAACCTGGGCTACACAGAGAAACCCTGTCTCAAGAAAGAAAGAAAGAAAAACTTGAAAAAAATCATTGCTGCCAAAGGAGAAGAGAGCCACCTTCTGCTTCTGAAATTAATGGGTGTAGGCTCTGTCTACAGATTTTAATGGGCAGGACACGTACAGAAGCAGTCCTGGCCACTTAAGTTGAATGAGGCATTCCAGCTGCTGTTAAAACAACTAGCATTTGTTATTTCTGTGGGCTGGTTTCACATCTCCAGTTCAAAGAGAAACAGATGTCTGAGTTTCAATTTTTTAAAAGTTTGACTCTTTGCCCTGTCTTTAAGGCTGTTTACTAAGCAGAAACAGGTAGACCAGTAGTCTGAGATGTGAAGATGGGACAGCGATAACATTAATAAGAGCTATTTGCTAATATTGTTTATGTATTGTTCTTAGAAGAAATCCAACATCTGGTTATATATCCAAGAGGACACTTAATACAAATGTAGAAGAATTTTTATGTATCATTTATAATCAGAAAACAATCTGAATATCTAGCAACAAGAAGAATAGATAGATAAAATTGTACTATGAAATAACAGGCAGCAGGCAAAAGAAATGGACGGAACAAAGGATAAATCTCAAAGCATAATACTGAAAAAAATTGTAAAAGGCTTTATTTATATGTATGTGTGTAACCCCACACATACATATACATATATACATATACACACATATATATACATACACATATATACATATTTATAGTATGTGTGAGAGACAGATCCTGTTTATATAAAATATGAATCAGTGTGAAAATAAATGTGTATGTGTGTGTAAGAAAACTGGAATGTGTATATGGAAATGAGGAACAGTAAACCAGAACAGAAGTTGCCTCTCTGATGAGGGAGGAGATTAGGATATGGGGGTGTGTTACATGGAGTGCTGTATTCTTCCTAGACTGCTGTAACAGAACACCATGGACTATGTGGCTTGTAAACAACAGAAGTTCACTTATCATAGTTCTGAAAGTTGGGAAGTCCAAGGTCATGTGCTGGGAAATTCACTCTAATGAGGGTCTATTTGCATATTCTTGGGTTGCCAGGTATATTAGTTGCTTTTCTCATTCTGTGACAAAACTTAAGGAAGGAAGAAGGTTTGTTTTGCCTCCAAGCTTACTGTTTGTCTTTGAGTCCGGGATGATGCACAGCTTCGTGGTGGGATATCCGTGGTAGAGGAAAATGAATCACCTCATAGTAGCCGAGAAACAAGAAGAGGAAGCGGCCAGCATTCCCGTATCCCCTTCAAAGACCTACTGTCTCCAGCCCTGCCTCCTAAAGTTTCCACCCCCTACAAATGGCTGTCTTTTCCTCCTCCTCCTCCTCCTCCTCCTCCTCCTCCTCCTCCTCCTCCTCCTCCTCCTCCTCCCTCTTCCTCCTCCTCCTCCTCCTCCTTTCCCTTCTTCTCTGTTGGGGATTGAGGCTGGGATCTCACATGTGCTAGGCAAGCACTCTACCAGCCCTCTATATCCTCAGCCTTCTTAACAACAAAACAAAACATATAAACAAAAATGTATTTATTCATTTTATATGTGTGTATCTGTGTACACCTATCATCAGTGTAGAGATCAGAGGATGACTTGTGGGGTCCGTTCCTTTCTTCCACCATGTGGGTTCCAGGAATCAAACTCCGATCGCCAGGCTTGGTGGCAAAGCACCTTTCCCTACTGAGCCATCTCACTGTCTCCAGACTGGTTTTGTGTTTTGTTGAGTTTCTGAGACAGAGTCTGGCTAACCTACCTAGGCTGGCATTGAACTGCATCATTCTGTAGCCCAGGCAGGCCTTGAATTAGCCATCCTCCTGCCTCAGCCTCCCAAGTAGCTGGGGTCACAGGCTTGGCTCAGTTTTCATTTCTGAAATGATGTTTTAATTTCTTCTCTGAGTTCTGTTGCCTCATTTTGGACTTTCCCCAATTAGGATTCATCTTTGCTCTCTCTTGCCTCCTTCATTGGGTGTTTCCTCCAGCTTGATCTCTCCTGAGTGTCCTGCTGGCCCGTGTCCGTTATCTGCCCTGTCCCTTTACTTTTCCCCCCAGCTTCTGGAAGGGTGGCTCGGTTGACAGAACCCTCTTCCGTTCTTTTGGTGAAGTGTTTGAAAGTATTTCACCTTGCTTTTGAGATTTCCCGGCTCTGTTCCCTCTTCTTACACCTGGGCTTTCTCCGTGCAGTGTCCTCATTCTCCATAATTCTGTCCCCACTCATTTCTCCTCACTGCCGATTCCAGTCAAGCTGGTCACTTCTGAGAATTCCTGAGAACCAGAACTTCTCGCTTGGTGGCTTGCATGTTGAGTAAAGGAACCCCCCCCACCCTCCGTGCCACCTCAAACTCCCCAACCCTGGTTTAAATCTGCCTGCTGTGCCTGGTAGGATGTACCTTTTCAGTCCTTGGGGTCCATTTGCTCCCAGAAAGCCTGTTGGTCCCCTTTTGCTGTTTCCCACTCAGACTTGGATACATACCAGCCTGGCTTGTGGTCATTGGTGCTGTGACCTCACCTGATTGTGTTCAAGGTTCATAGGGTACAGTGTTTCTTTGTAGTGTGTTCTAGTTTGCTTTCCTGTTGCCGTGATAAAACAATTCTGACCACTAGCAACTTGGGGAGGAAAGGGTTTATTTTAGCTGCAGGATACAGTGCATCATTGAGTGAAGTCAGGGCAAGAGCTCAAAGCAGGAACTAAAGCAGAGTCCATGAAGGACCATTGCTTATTGGCTTGCTCAGTAAGCTGTCTTACACAGCCTAGACCCACACGCGTAGGGCTGGTACCCCCAAATTGGACTAGATACTCCTGCAACAATTAGCAATTAAGAAAATGCCCCCCCACACACTCCCACAGGCCAATCTGGTGGAGACAATTCAATTGAGGTTCCCCCTTTCCAAGTGTGTCAGGTTTATAAGCAAGACTAGCCATCAAGTTTCACCCATGGGCTTTAGATTTTTATCCTGTAGCTATCCTCTGAAATTAAAATTCTAGAGCTAGGCTGCTGCCTCCTCCTCAAAGTCTCCCATGCACTCTCAAACAACTGTAGGTGCCTTTACCTCTTAGCACCCCATTCAAACTGCTCTTGAAATCACTCTGGAATGGTCCATAACACACTCACCCAGACACATCTCACTTCTGCCTTTAGCAGCAGCACTGGGCACAGTTAACCTCTTCCTTCTGACCCTCTCTGCCTTTCGAGTCCAGGACAGCATAGCTC